GCAACGAGAGCGGCGAAAGCAATGATCTGCAAATTATTTGATTATTGTTTATTCCAATCACTAATGTACACTTTTTAACGCACCAATTTCATGGTTGTGTTGTAGATCTGTCGAATCAACTGACTATGATACAAGCTATCAATGGAACTGCTTTTATACTCTTTTCTAGTTGAGAGAAAAAAATGTTCATTGGTGTTGGTCTGTTACAAAATAATGCGAGAAGTTGTGTTACGTAAAGGTTACAGCATCTGGTCGCTTCACTTTTACTTAAATTAATGTTCGCATTTTAATTCTTTAATTACAAAAAATAAGAATAGTTTGGAATGTGTAAAATTGGGTCACAACTTTTTAATATTTTTTTCAATTTATTGAAAGAAATTAAAGAAATAATAATTATTTCAAAATCAAAATTATAAACGCAAACAAAAATTGTAATTCAAAATCAATAAAATTTGACCAATGACATAAAATATTAAACAAAAGTGTTTTATATTTTTGAATCTTCTACATTTGCTTATATTCCTATACAAATTACACATTACATTTTTGTTAATATTTAAATAAGTAAATAATTGTATAAATAATAATAATAATAATTGATTGGCCAAACATCAATACATAAGAAGAAGAAAAAAGAAGTACAATTTATACATAAATAAATTTTAACATACAATAAAAAAATATATATTAATAGGCTGGCCAAAGGGCTAACGACCGAGGTCTTTCCGCCCTTGTATAAATATTTTTTCTAAATATTTATATTTTCAGATTTTCAATTTATTATTATTTTTTATTTGATATATTTAATATACTAAGAAAAATTTGGGACTTCAAATGAAATCAGAATAACAACTATAACAATTCCCTGAACTTATTTAAATTACTTAAAATATTACAAAAGCTATGTGAAATGATCTATTAAATATCTTTATTGGTCACAATTATCGACCAAAGACTGTCTGCTCCAAATGAATATTTGTACTTGGTTTTATTTAACTGACAAATAAATAATGTTTTCTATAATAAAACAAATTTTAATTTATATTAAAGCCCAAATTATTCATTTTTTTAAATGTAATTATAAAATAGTTTTTAAATCTGTAACTTTTTATAATATTGTTAAAATATTCAAATAATATTTTATAATTTTAGCTAAGGGAAGATATTGAAAACGTAAATATTTTATTAATATAATTTATTTTTATTCTTTTACGATTTTATAATAAAGTTTTGTAGACTATTTACATCACAATTCTATAAATTTATATTCAATGTTCGGCTTTTGGGAGATGTTCGCCTTGTGGCTGGAAACCGTTCTCATCAGCAACATAGGTTACAGTGTAAGTTTGACCATCAG